GATACAGAAGCTCTGCTGCAACTCTGCAAGGCTACATCAATTAAGATGTTACTGATTCCTTCTTAGCGCAATAAAACAGTAAGTGAGTGATATCTTCATATTATCAAAGCTTTTGCCAGTTTTGTCTTGATTGCACTCCAGTATTTTCCCATGAGCTCCTGTGTCTTTAGGAGGAAGTAACTTTTAATATGATCCCTGAGGAGTAAATGGTTTGGGGCCATGATCCCATTCATTTTTATTCATAGATCATGCCTTTTAATTTCAGCGGCTTTATATGATCACAAAGCCAAAACCAGAATGTACACTCTAATCCCTGTCCCAATAACATGTAAATGCAGAAACCATGGTAGTCTATGAATTTTAATGCAGATCTGTTTCTGTGCAATGAAAGACAGCTGTAAAGGAATACCTTCATAAAATAACTATCACAACCAATGGTACACAATGCTTTTATTTCCATTCACAATACAAATTAACTTCTACTGCTACTCCTACTACTAATAACAACAACAATAATAAAAAAATTATTTATATGCCGCCCATCCGACTGGGTTGCCCCAGTCACTCTGGGCGGCTCCCAACAAAATATTAAAAACACGATAAAACATCAAACATTAAAAACTTCCCCAAACAGGGCTGCCTTCAGATGTCTTCTAAAAGTCTGGTAGTTGTTCTCTTTGACATCTGGTGGGAGGGCGTAGTGCCACTACCTAGAAGGCCCTCTGCCTGGTTTCCTGTAACCTCGCTTCTCGCAGTGAGGGAACTGCCAGAAGACCCTCGGAGCTGGACCTCAGCATCTCGGCTGGATGCAGACAAAAATACATTATTTGGTTTATATACAAAACTTGCTGGATTGTTTTTGTATTGATAGTCCATGCACCCTAAGTTGGAGCAGCATATGCACTTTACACAGCTAGGTCCGTTTACATGATTACAATCTCATTCAGCACTGAGCCAAAAATTACCAGGTGAGTTTTGGAGGGGTAAACACCCTTTAAAGAATATTGCGCAAAATGTGCCACCTCCCCATGTATGCACAATTTTGTTACCAGCAAATATTTATTTTTTAATTTTATTAAATTTGTACATTGCCCTTCAGTTCCATGGATCCCAGGGCAGTTCACAAAATAAAAATACAATATCAAAACATAATAAACACAAGAACAAAGAAAAGAACAAAAAACCTTCATAAACCAATACCCCCCCCCCGCCTCACAAACACATTTAAAAGGGGTATAAGATGTTGATAACATGGAACTCTCTTATGGGCCATTTTCATTGAGCCCTAGAAAATTCTAAGATGATGATGATGATGATGATGATGATTTATTTATATGCTACCCATCTGACTGGGTTGTGGTGCAGATTATCGTTTAGTGAGCAAGTCACTAAATAAAATAAAATAAAACTGACCTGAAAGCATTTTCATTTTGGTAATTTTATGTCACAGACAATTTCCCTCACCTCTACACACTTCTCTCAAGTCCCCTTGAGTTTCAAAATAGGCATCAACAGTGCAATTATAATCTATGACAGTGCCATTGTCGGGTTAACACCTGTATGTGCTGATATATGACTAGTACCGTGTTGCAACAAGCATGCAAATAAGTTTATAATTACTACATAGTTTAAAAAGTACTGAAATTGTCATAACTTTTATATATTGCTCCATTACAACCTTTAAATAAATGTTTTGATGGAGATCAGCAGTGCTAGGCCAATTTATTCTTGTCTATCATTAAAAGGCCTTACACAAAGAAACAATACTGTTCCACATCAAACTGTCACGAAGAGACATTTCCCTGCAACACCTGCTTGTTATGAATAGACACAGGCTAAGAACAGTTTATCATGATGAAGATAGCGATTCTTGCAAAGCCTTAAGGGAACCAGTTTTCATATAATGCAAGTAATATTTTAGAAATGTCTAAAACATACGTTCAGCGCAATGAACATATATTTGACTTAACCTATTACTTCCCAGAGATCAACTTTAACAATGTATTTACTTACAATTCAACAAAGTGGTCCCACTAGCAAATACCCACGCAAGGACTTCCACTAGTGGAACGGGGCTTTCCCCCTCATCTCTCCCCCCCCTTGCAAAATTTTTGGGTGTGTGTGGGTCAGGCAAGCTTGCCTTCCCCAGGGGAAGGAAAGAGGACATTCTTTCATCAGGCAATCAAAACTGCTTCTGCTGATGGGATCATCTCCTTTGCACTATGCTGACGCATTAGCAAAAAAAAGTTATCTGGGTGGTTTACAGTTAAAATACTAAAAATAAATAATAAAGTACAGTATAAAAATACAGCAACCAAGAAAGTACGGTGGTACCTCGGGTTAAGTACTTAATTCGTTCTGGAGGTCCGTTCTTAACCTGAAACTGTTCTTAACCTGAAGCACCACTTTAGCTAATGGGGACTCCTGCTTCTGCCGCGCCACCGGAGCACGATTTCTGTTCCCATCCTGAAGCAAAGTTCTTAACCTGCGGTTTGTTGAGAGCCGCCCAGAGTGACTGGGGCAACCAGTCTCTCAGGACACTCTGCTGCCGGCTTCAAAGTTACTCGACAAAAAAAAGGGTTCAAAAGGAGGCTGCAGCATGAAATTGCTGAACTAGAATTTCTCGGCAAATTTGAATCTATTCAATTAGGACTTAATCAGGACTCTGGTCTTCTTTCTCGCTGCAGGTGTTAAATTAAGTTAGTGCAGCTGGAAAGACAGTCTTGTCACAATGACTGCTGTTGCGAACATGTCATCCTGTTCTTACCCTGTGTACATTTGGGAACTCCAGGAAAATGACTCAGAGCTACTGCTGCCTTTCATATTTTAGTCTTTGCGCACCATAACGGTGTGTGTGTTTGTGTGTGTGTGCTTATATATACTTATTGAAGATAACACTGAATGTGTCTCACAAAGTGGGCTCTGGACCAGTCCATGAAAACCTCTGCCACGTGACTTTTGTTTGTATTTTAAGGTGCTAAAGGCCTATTTGATCTAGTGATAGGTGATTTGAGAAAAAATACGAGACTTGTTTGTATGGAGCAGAAATGATTGCCCCATAAATATATATCTGGTGCCTTTGTAGATCACTGAATACCATTTCATTAATATTTGCATAGTAGCACTGCTTCACTTAAATGCAAACTGTTATATAGTTGTTCATTTCAAATGGGTGGCTGGGCTCTTGTTCAGACACTTATTTAATTTAATTATTTAACTGTTTTCTTTAAACTGATGTGACAACCTCTCGTATTTGAGGTATGGTCTTTCAAAACATGCGACACAATCCTATCAGAAGTATGCCCTACATAGTTCGACGGGACATACTCTTAGCCTGAAATACTTTACACCTGCATTTCACTTCATTGCTTATGATGTTGGCAAATGTTTATTAAAAAACCCTCAAATAGCTTTTAAAACAGATATGTTGTAGCGAGATCAGCTGTACGTGTAGTAGGCTGCAATATAAATTAATAAAGTAGGCTTTTAGAGCTGATTTTTAATAAATAAAACTCATTTTTTAATTTTATTTTATAGGTTTTATAGCTGTTTAATTCAAAAGGAAAAGGGAGCGTAAGTGCCCTGGTTGGCAGGAACAATTGGACAGGAGCTAATTTTAAATCGATCACTGCATTTAGGATCATCTGACTGATGATGGACCAGTCAGCGAAAGAAGCTAGAAACTAGTAAAAGTTGCTTGTTTGGGTCATCCTCAAGTGAATTTCTACACGGCCTGGAATCCTCAACACTTCATTAGCCAGACTTTAATTGAGGGGTCCATTTTGTACCTGATGATGAACTTGCAAGTTTGCAGTAAAAAATAAATGTGCTCTCAACCTGGCAGATTCTGAGTTTTCAACTAAGCGCAGCCTCCAGAAAATTGGAAAGAGGTCAAGGGGAATCTGAACTCCCACGAAGTATCTTGAATTTTAGTTCAACGATGTCAAAGATTGCTTTGGAAACAATCATTAATCTTCGTGACATATTTGTGACATCACAACAGTTCAGAGATGCTTAAAAATGAAGCTCATGGGTGACCTTTCTCAAGGTCATGCCAAGTCAGTAGGAGAACCTGGGAGTCCAGACTAGGGGTCTGCAGGGGGTGGAATTCAGTTCAGGTTGAAGCTGAATCTATCAAATTTCCACTTTATGAAACAGCATATGAACCAAAACACAGCAATCTCCCCAAATTTCCATGTATCTGAATTTTACTAGGCAGTTTGCCACGCTCTGTTTACAGAAATGCATATATTAGGGGGAATTGTGAATAAAAACAACACAGGGAGGGGGAATGGTCATATATAAGGAAATTGCTAGCAAAAATGTGTCCCTTAGTCAAAACTGCATATTAAAATGTGTTTACTGGGAGAAATTTGCACTAAAATACTGGTGAAGTTTCATTAGTATTCTTCCCCCTCCCCCCAAAAAAACCCACACAAATGGCTGCAAAATGCACAGAGAACTGAATTTAAGATTGGGAAAATGAAAAACAGAGAGCTGAAATTGACCGATTCTTCCATCCCTAGTCAAGACTTGTAGCTTTGAACTTGGTAACAATAACAACAACAACAACAACTTTGTACCCCGCCCATCTGAGTGGGTTGCCCCAGCCACTCTGGGTGGCTTCCACATATATAAAAACATGACAAAACATTAAACCTTAAAAAGCTTCCCTATACAGGGCTGCAACAACATCTAGCAGTGACCTGATAACCGAATTGAGTTGCCTTGTTTTCACCATAAGGCTGCAGTCCTGTACACATTTACCTGTGAGTAACACAGCAATCTTTAATCAGGGCCTAGGAAAACATGGCACAATGTATCCACCACCATATCTGAAGCTCTGCCACCTTCAGCCAGCCAGGATGAAAGGTGTTTGGGAGCAATCGCTCCACTACTACTCAACCTTCCTTAACTGGTTTGGTTGAGCTTCCTTCTGCCCAAGTCAAATACACACCTGACTTATCCCAGGATGAACTGCATATTTATTTCACCAACAGCTCCTGCAGTTGGGATCCTTGTCCTATTGGACCAGCTGGCAGAGAAGGTCATCTGGTGGGATCACCTGGTAAGGTTTAAAAAGCTATTGCTGAACTGGAATAAATTCCATGGTGAAATTAATAATATTGGGATGCCATGGGGGCGGGGATAGATGCTTTTAAAGGCCATTGCACCTTCATTTTGAAAAGTATCAGTGTGGTGTGATGTTTGTAGCTCACAGTATTTTGGATCTCTCTCTCTCTCTCTCTCTCTCTCTCTCTCTCTCTCACACACACACACACACACACACACACACACACACACCAGGCAATATTTTGGAGCCTCTTTTCCTGTGTTCCATTTTTTAGGTCGATAATCTGTGCTGGCCTGCAGTTTGCCAGGTGGCTCACTTGTCATAGTCTGCGATGACTAACTCTGCGTGGTTTGGACAAAGCGATGCCAAGACGTTTCATCTTGCCCCAGTGACTCACAAGACTGAAAAAATATTGCAGCATTTAGTTTGCAAGTATAATTTATGTTCTTTCAACTGATCTTGCTGTGGCCAGGCCAATTCAGCCATGAAAAGCGAGGGAAACGCATCGGTTCAAGGAGGGAAGTGCTGATCTATGAGAACAATTTTAGTTAATTAAGTGGACATTTCACAAGGGCGAGGGATCCACTAGTCCCCTTAAGAGAGCCAGTCAAATGTGAAATACAAGGGATTTTGTTAGGGGAAATAAATGGACAGGCTGCAGATGGGGGGGGCAGCTGGAATTTTGCTGCCTTTGTAGCTGAAAGAAGAGGATGGCCCAGTAGAACAAAGGGGTTCTGAGCTTATGGAGTTGAGGGATCTCCACGCTTGCGTCATCCTTGTTGTCAAGGACAAAAGCTACATGGGCATTTGTACGAAGCGGGGTTTCCATTTTGCTATTCCATCCATGTTAGAAAAACTGTCAGGTATGGATATAATCATCTGGGCAGTGATGAGTTACTTCACACAACCGGCTTCTCCTTTATTTAAAGGCACATATGGCAACCCGGCCAGAAGGCAGTCTAGGCCAAAATGTAAGAGGGAAATGGAGCTACCTGCTGCTACCTTCTTCCTGTTCTTCTTCAAGAAGCTTTGCACCAGGACAGGGCCCTCTCCTCTGATTGTGGGAAATGCCCCAACTTTTCAACTGAAACCGAAGGAGCAGCTGGAGAAGATGAAACTGCGGGTATATCTACGGTATATTGCCGTCTCACCAGTTCACTTTTAATGCTCAATGCCTTTGTGCATCACTCCCAGAAATCTGGAGTGGTAGTTTGGGGAGCACTGAATGCCCGCTATTTGATGAAATACAGTAATTTATGACCAAGGCTATTTTTTTTCAGCAGAGCTCAGTTCCAGCACATTCAGGTGGGCGCCATTGCCATTCTAAGAGAACAAGGGAGAAGTTCATGGTCAGCTCTGGCACCTCTTTTTCCAGGGAAAAAAAATAGCACTGCTTATGGCATTTATTTTACCTCAAGAGCTTGGCCTGTCCACACAACAATGCTGCGTGTAGGCCAAGCCGAGAGTTACTGACTGACACAAATTCACCCAGTAACTTTTGTGGCTGAGCAATGGTCTGTATTACGCTGAATTCAGCTTGGTGATGTAGATGTTTGGATGGAGGAGAAATTCTATTCAGTTCAAATTTAAAGGCAAACTTACCTAATTCAACAGGTGAATAGTAACACCACCTTTTAAAATTCGCATTCTCTGAATTTTGCAATGCAGTTCTTCAGCCAGGTAATGTGTACAAAAGAGAACACATTGTGGTGATGCGTACATATAGATGCATATATTAATGAAAAATACTGTATGTACATTAGGGGTTCATAATGCATACAAAAAAAGAGGGCATATTAAGAGAAAATCGCTGGACTTAAAAAAAATAAAATCACAAATTGATGTGGAGAACTGAACCAAAACCACCACATTCACCCATCTTGATGTAGCTGCAGATCATTTATTACTGTAGATTACAGATTACAGTGAGTTTCTGTTATCTGTCGTATGTCTGATATCTGGTGCCTCTTTTCATTAGGTTAGTTCCTGCAGGGGTGCCTGTCACAAAGTGCTCAAATAACCACTTTAATCTTCTCATCAGTCGCTTTGCGAACAAGCTATTTTCACATTTTTCTTCTTTGGTGCTCTGGTTTGATCAGTCTCAATAGAGTGCAGGGTGTGGATGCTAATAACTGCTTTTAATTCATCTGAGCTCCAGGCCATTTCATAGAAACTTTCCTTGGTACTGCAAGTGGTTTCCCATGCCTCAGATCCACCCTCACAAAACCCAGATTCTGTCTTTCCACCCACTGAAGATGAGAAGCATATATCTATTGGCTTTTATCTGTTAATAGAGAACAGTACTACATACTCAAAACAAGTACATTACAAAGCAAAAAGTAGGCCCCAACTCTCTTCAGCCTATTCTTCTACCTGTTGCTCTCATGTGCCTTCAGCTTGACTGAGGGTGGGGTGCACTTTCATTCAAGGAACAACAGGGACCTGTTCAATCTAGCATGTCTCCATGCCAAGACAAAAATGCCATGGGTGACTAGTTGACCTAGCATTTTCACTAAAAAGGCATGCTGCATAGGACTTATTGATCCAAAAGTACCTAAATGTTTCATCATGCAAGGCAGCTGAAAGCAGGTATTATAAAATATGTAAAATAAAGAAAAACATTAGTACATTTACATAAATTACATAAATAACACTAATAAATTGCAAAAAACATTAAAGGAAATGGAAACCTGCTAACAGAATAATGTGCAACTTTTTTCTATTTGGATCAAGCACGAAACTTACAGCTGTAATAATAATAATAATAATAATAATAATAATAATAATAATAATAATTAGAATTTATTTAAAACATACCTGATCTTCAAAACGATCCTTGTGAATATTTGGGCCTTGGTTGGAACAGGTTAGTGAACCCAAATGAAAATGCCTTATGATCATTGCAAAAAGCATTGTGGTTCAGGTTTTAATCAATTTATATAGGTTTAACAACATTACATTTACATGTGCTTGATTTCTGAATCATGCTCATGAATAATAAGAACATTGCTGACATTGATAAGCATTTTTTACTGCTTTCCCTACCCTACATACTCAATTACTTCATGTACCTTGTTTCAATAATCCTAATAATTATCTTGTAAGTCGTCTTCTTATATTGCAAGGGCTGAAGCTGTAACATGCTGACTTGCCTGAGGACATTGAGATGGTTGGTGATTGAGCTGAAATTTAAAGCTTCCCATAGATCATACTATAGCCAGGTGCAGATGATAATCTAGAAAGAACGAACAGGTACCCATAAATCTGGCAATGGGTCTCCATCATCTCATCTACTTTGGCAGTCAGGTGAGACATGAGCGGAGGAAATCTCTTGGCATGGCCTATGCTTTCAACCTGGTTGCTACTCCAAATTCACACTTAGTGAAGGAGGCTATAATTCATCAGGCCGCAGCAGAGGGAGTAGTGAGAATCAAGACCATTCTGTAGAGATCAGCTCCATTCCTGCACCTGCTTTTATTCCAGCTGCTCATTATACTACTATGTATCTAAGCCCAAGTTTGCTTGTTTCCACTTCCCTCCTCTTCCCTCCTTCCTTTTGTGCCTTGTCTATTAGACTGTGGCACTGTGATCCAAACCCCGGCTGGGCAGCAGTGGTTAACAGAGCAGTGGGAATGCCACCACATCCGCAGACCTGCCACTCATGCCGGTGGGGACAGACAGTGGGGGCCGGCTAATGGTTGTGCCAGGAAGGAGCTGGCACAGCAACCAACTGGGCTCCGGGGCTGTCAAGGGAGACTGGCCTGGGATCCAGTGGATCCAGGCTCATGCAACCCCTCCTTATCCAACATTTTGTGGGCTGCCGCTGGCAGTGAACCTCTCATGGGCACTTCTACCTGCTCACCTGTTCAGAGGACTGAATGGAGAGTCCATGCCAGTGGAGTGACGCCGGTAACATTGCACAGGTAGAGATTGGTGCAGGTCCACAATCAAACCTCCCCTCTCCCCATCAGCCTGTTTTGGATGGTATCCCAAGCCTCTGAGCATGGACTGTCTTGTTCTGATTGATCTTATGCAAGGGAGCCCATGCATCCTATTTTACAAAGGACATTCCTGGCCTTGAAGGGCTGCCTGGTCCAAGTCCACTTTAAATATTAATAATCCTAAGAAGGAAGAGCTGTAGACTCTTGTAGTCCGTCATGTGATATGTTGTGACAAAGGGCTTGATATGAATAGTGACCAGAGGACAACATTGAGCAGGCAAATTAATAATAATAATTAAAAATAATTTATACCCCGCCCATCTGGCTGGATTTCCCCATCCACTCTGGGCGGCTCCCAACAGAATATTAAAAACATGATAAAACATCAAACATTAAAAACTTCCCTAAACAGGGCTGCCTTCAGATGTCTTCTATGAGACGGAAAAACCCTAGAAAGAGCCTTGTGCTTTGGTGTCTCTTTTTCCTCCCTTACACAGTTAGAGGAATAATTTATTTTGTGGCTTTGTACAAACCATGGTGTGCCATTGCATTTGACCCAGGAAACGATGGGTGGTCTGGAACTAAATTTCACATTGGAATTAATCAACATGATCCAGTTAGGTCTGTTCATTTCAATAGGAATACTCTGAGGAAAATAATTAGTTGAACATTGCCCGATAGTTTGTGATTCCCATACAAACTAGTTTGGATTTGACAGTGAACCAGGAAGTAACTAATTAAGCCAAGCACATGGATGGAGAAGGGGAAGAGGGAGAGAAAGGGAGCGGAGGCTCTTTCCAGGCCTGTTTTCCTGGTGTCAAAATATTGTGTGGTATTACATATGAACTGAGCCATTTCCCCCTCAGATGGAATATATTAAAGAGGGTAGATAATCAGGAAAGTGTTGGGCTTTCAAATGTACCTTTCAACCTTGACAGTCTTGGCTAGCTTTTCCTATTAACAAATGGAAGTGGTTTGGAAACAAGGCCAAAACGACGGCTTGTATAATGAAGTTCCTGTGATTCTGATTCCATTGATATCAGAGTAAACTACTATGCCGGAAGAAACAGAAACCATTATCTCACCTCCCCCCTTTCTTCTTTTTACAGTGTGCAATCCTCTTTATCTGTCTACTCGGAAGCAAGCCCCCACTGATCTAAATGGAGCTCACTCCCTAGTAAGAGCACATCAGAGAGAGGGCTAAGTTTATGGTCTGCTTCATATTAAATATTTGTCCCTGTTAGTGCCAAATGAGTTTTTAAACAGAGTGAATTCTCTAGCTAAAATAATAATAAAAAGCCAAGCCTGTGTGAAAACGAGACCACAAATTAACAGGCATAAACAATTCCACCCTAGAAGAAAAGATTCATTAACTGTTCTTTCCTTATTGGAGAATAACACATTTTGGGCAAATCCTCTGAGACTCTGAGGACACTTATAAATACAAGCAGCATTTGGAAACATTTCATTGCAGAGAAAATTCCAGACTTCCATTTTTCTTCTTGAGGGAGTTCACGTGTTGGTTTGTTTGCTGTGTTCGTGTGTGCCTTTTATACACAAAAAAATTAAGTTCCAGCAAAGGGAAAGTGCATTTATGCAAAAGCAATTTATCAACCACTCCTGTTCTCCGAATTCACTGAGGTAATTTAGATACTTTAATGGCGAGGTAGTTTAGGATGGTATGCAAATAAGTGCTTTCTCCACAATATTGCCTCCTAATCGTCCCTGTCAACCCCTACCAACTTCCAAATCAGTTCAAAATGTTTCCCCTCGATTAATCTTTCCTGTGAAATTATTCACCACCCGCAAATACATAATTTAAACACAATACCAATCTCCTTTTGTGCTATATGTTCATATGTTGGAAATCTGTTATGAACAGCTTTGTTATAGTAGGCACAGCAAGAGGACACAATGTGGTGGTGCTGAGCACTAATCTGATTTTCATAGCGTTCAGCGTGTACCAATAAAAATAAGGCCCTTTGCATCTGTTATTTGACTTTAAAAAAAGAGAGGGAGCAAAAAACCCACCCGTGGCCTTGACCTTAGTGATGTCAGGCATATACTACAGCTCTTCTATAATTTACAATTGACATCATGGATTAAATTTGTTGTTTCAGCTAATGCAACAGAGCAAGTTGAGGTAGATTGTGAAACAAAGCCAGCCACTGAAATACGAGGCTTGTCAAGTATAAATTTACAAAAGATATTCAGACGGAGCACACAAGACACAAATAAATGGCTGGAGAAGCTGTTTTTGACAGACTGCAAGGGGCTAGAGACTTAAACTTGAACATTGTAAATCCAAGTGTCACAAAGTGCTGCAGCAGAGTGAAAGACGTGTCTATTCTTCAGGAATATAAATGGTGATACGAAAGCAAACTTCCAAGATGCTGTGCATTTTGGGAAAGTATATCACCTCTGCCTTGCGACACATTTAGCGAGTCTTCCTTGTCTTCCTTACCCCTAGCTTTGAAACATAAAGATCAGCGAGTTAAATATTCAAGAGGATAGGAGGCTTGGGGTGCACTGATTTATCCAGAATGCCAAAAAAATATTGTTTTTGGTTAATCTATTTAGCAGCGAACTGAATTATGCCGTTTGCCATTTTACCTGGCTTGAAATAAAGCAGAACATTCCCAGGAGGCAGAGGGCTCCATTGGATCAAAGAACCTTCTGTCCATGGAAAAACACCACTGGACAAGCGCTACACACTACAAACGGTGGATTCTCACACTCACATGATACAGTAGGAATGACTGCGTTATATTATAAACCTCTGGAGTTTCGTTGTGCGCTGCCATGTCCCCCGCCCCCTGTTAAATCTTTTCCAATTCTTGCTAAAAGAAAAGATCACCTACGATAAACCAGTCACCATAAGAAGGAGTTATAAACCATTGAATACCCATAGTCTGTGAATCACCCTGAGACCTCTGGTTATAGGGCGGTATTATAATAATAATAATAATAATAATGGTCTCAAAAAGGTGTTCAGTGCATCTCAGGAAAGAAATGCCAAAAAACCCCCTGTGATTAGAAGTCACAATGGATTTTTTTCTCTTTAAAAAATATAACAAATTGAGCTCAGTTGTATAATAACATTCTAATTGAGTTCTGTCGCTTTATCTGTTTAGTGGTGTTTTTTTAAGTTCACATTTGGAAACAGCTTTTTCTTGCTGTTTTACCTGCTCAGTTGTGTTCATGCAGGTTTGTATCTTATACGCAAATTGCAAAGGCATATGCTTAAACCTAATAAACAGCACCCAGTTCTGAAACTTTTCATGTTCTTCATTTGGAAATAATAGAATATAAAATATCCTTGTAAAATGATCTTTTCCACAGTCCTCGAGGTTCTTCTGTCTCTGTGATTGTAGCGTGTATATATATATATATATATATATGCAGGGAAGAGAACAGGCTCTCTGTTTGTCACATGATCCAGCATAGCTCCCCTTGTATAGGATTTACTGCCATTTCAAGGATGATGTAGTACCCGGCTGCCTATTGACAGGATGCAATAAAGCATGACATCCAGGAATTCTGGAGGTGCAGGCAAGCTTGCGTGTGTTTGCTGTATCCTGTGGAAATTTTTTACCATATTTTCTGTTTATCCCAGATGCGAAAATCACAAAGAGGATAACTGTGACTGTAAACACAGGAAAAGG